AATCAAGCACTTTACTCTTGAATTAGAAAAATGAACAATAATATAAATCTAAGTAAAATCAGCAGAAGGAATAAATGAAATCAAAGTTAGAAATTAATGAATTGGTTGATATTTTAAAAAATTTAATGGTAAAGAGGTCCAAAAAATAGACAACCCCCTGGCAAAGCTGATCAAGAAGAAGAAAAATCAAATGTAGGAATAAGAAAGGAGGTATAGTTATACATAATATTTTAGGAAAATATAAACTAAATTAAGATACTAAAAATAAACTAAATGAAAAAATATTTTAATTGCCATCATTGAAAAGACCAACAACTATAGGAGAAACTAGAAATATTTTAAAATATAAATAAATAATAATTCTTTCTCCCAAACCATTGGGCCCAAATGTCCTCACAGGGGTGGCTAATGTTGCGGTTTGGGATACAGACTCTTAAGAGTACAGCAGATCCATGTCCCTGCCAGTGGTGCCTACCATGGCCTCAGGTCGCCACCCCCTCCCCAGCCTCAACTTTCCCATCTACAAGGTGGGTCATGAGGGCTCCCCTCCCCATGGATTCCCTGAGAGAGGCCTCCTGGAGCCTTAGTTTCCCAGACTGTAAAATGGGGTGAGAACAGAGTTGACTTCATAGGGTCATGATAGAAGCCAGTTGATTATAAGCACAGAGTTCTTGGGGCAGGCCTAGCTGGCAAAAAGCAGTGTTTATAATGCCCACTCACCATGAGGTCACATCAGAGGATTGACCCACCACGGCCCTGGGCCAAGTCCCACCAGCCAAGAAAAGTTTTTACCTTTTTAAGCAGTTGGGAGGGAAAATCAAAAGAAGAATATCCCTGGACATGTGAAAATTCAACAGAATTCAGATTTCAGTGTCCACCAATAAAGGTTTGTTGGAACACACATGCCCATATGTGAACCGAAATAGTGACTCTCTGGTCTTTGCAGAAAAGTTGTGCCAAACCCATATTATAGTTACAGATGATAGAAAGGAAGGGACCTGTCCCTGCCGTTTTAAGCTGGGACAGCTGGAAGAGTGACATCACATCTAGAGAGTAGCTTAGTCCATGGGGGGCCTGAGAGCTCTGAGGAGCGCCAGGGGTGCAGCCGGTCCTTACAATCATACCCTCTTCACGCAGCGCATTTTGGAGGACAAGCAAGACAGCCTGCTCCCTGCCGCCCTTGTCCAGCCCCACACTGGGAAACTCTGCTGGTTCCTGGATGAGGCAGCAGCTCGACTCTTGACCGTGCCGTTCGAGAAGCATTCCACTTTGTAGCTGATCCCTGGGGACACCACAGTTGGGACCATGTGCAACCTGAGGGGGCTGGGACCTTCTAGGGCTGGGCCCCTCCACTGTCATGCTCTAGGTTTCACTTTAGAAAAGCCACATGGTGCTGACAGGGCCTGTCCACTAGCCCTTCCCAGATATCAAAAGGAGCCTTTGCTCCAAGTCTCCACTGTCTTGTGGTACTTGGTGGCCAGTGGGACAAGGAGCTCACAGGCTGACTCGAAGCCCTTGTCCCAGCAGGTGGAGGACAGGAATGGGTACCCTCAATCAGTTTCCTGGGGCTGTGTAGCAAAGTACCACAAGATTGATTTCATACTTCTGTAGGCCAGCAGTGTGAAATCAAGGTGGCAGCAGGGTTGGCTCCTTCTGGAGGCTCTGAGGGGAAGTCTGTCCCAGGCTCCTCTCCTGGCTTCTAGGGGTGACCAACAACCCTTGGTGGTGTTGCATCGCTCTAGTCTCTGCATCTGTCATCACATGGCTTTCTCATGTGAGTGTCTCTCTGTGTCCTCTTCTGCTAAGGACAGTGACTTTGGATATAGGACCACCCTAAATCCAAGATGAACTCCTCTCAGGAGCCTTAGCTGATTGCATCTGTAAAGACCCTTATTCCAAATATGGTCACATTCTGAGATTCCAGGGTTAGGACGTGGACATATTGTGTATGTATGTGTTAAAATACACATAACATAAAGTTTACTATCTTAAGCATTTTTAGGTGTCCAGTTCAGTACATTCTCACTGTTGTAAACCATCCCCACCATCTATCTCCAGAACTTTCCATCTTCCCAAACGGAATCTCTGTCCCTATTAAACGGTAACTCCCCCTCCCCTAGCCCACCATTCTACTCCTGTCTCTGTGAATTTGACTATTCTAGGGACATCATATAAATGGGATCATACAGTAGTTGTCCTTTTGTGTCTGGCTTATTTTACTCAACATAATGTCCTCAGATTCATGCATGTTGTCACATATGTTACAGTTTTCTTCCTCTTTATGGCTAAATAATATTCCACTGTGTAGATGAACCACATTTTGCTTTTCCATTCATCTGTGGACACTTGGGTTGCTTCCATGGTTTAGCTCTTGTGACTAATGCTGCTATAAACATTGGTGTACAAATATCTCTTTGAGACCTTGCTTTCAGTTCTTTTAGGGATATACCCAGAAATAGAAATGCTGGGTCATATGGTAATTTTTTGAGAAACCTCCATACTATTTTCCATAGCAGATGTACCATCTTAGGTTCCCACTAACAGTGCACGAGGGTTCCAGTTTCTCCATATCATCACCAACACTTGTTATTTTCTGTTTTTTTTATAGTGACCTGTGGATGTATCTTTCTGGTGGGACACAGTTCAACCCACTACACACACTCTGGCAGCGTTCCTACTGCACACAGCCATTGTGTTTATTTATTTATTTATATGTTCTTACGATTTTAGAGAGAGAGAGAGAAACATCAATGTAAGAGAGAAACATCGATTGGCTGCTTCCTGCATGAGCCCCAACTGGGGACTGAACCTGAAACCTGGGCATGTGCCCTGACGGGGAATCGAACCTTGATCTGGATCATAGGTTGATGCTCAACCACTGAGCCACACCAGCTGGACCAAGATTCCTCTTTAGTCACAGCTGTGCCAGGGCTGCAGCATTTTCATCTGCTGGGTCCACCCAGCTTCTCTGGCTCCTGGGACCTCAGTGTGGGAGACTAGTGGGCACAGAGTGTAGGGAGCATGGGTGCCCGGGGGTGTCCCACAGAGGCATCTGAAGGGGACATGGGAATTGAAACCTCAAAGTTGAAACCACAGAAAGAGAAGTTTCCTTCAACGACTTGTTGGTGTCAGTCACTCAGATGTGAGAGTGAGGAAGTGGTCCAGGGCCAGAGGGGAAGGAAATAGGTTGAGAAAAGCAAAGGAGGGAGGGGAGCTGAAAGGAAGGCTGCCCAGCCATGGGCTTGAGCAAGCACAGGTGGCCATGACCCCTGGAGCAGAGGAAAAATGATAGTGGCACGGAGACCCCACAAGTGGGACCCTTCCTGAGGCGCGTCACCTCTCNTCCAGGGCAGGGGTTGCCAGAGCAGAGGAAAAATGATAGTGGCACGGAGACCCCACAAGTGGGACCCTTCCTGAGGCGCGTCACCTCTCCTGTGCCCCTCTCCTCATGACAGCAGCTGTCCTTGCACCAGATCTGCCTGTGGTTCTTTTTCACCTTGGGTGAAACTCACCCTTCCTATTAGCCCATAAGTCCCCTTGTGGCCCCTGTGACCCCCATCCTCCTCTCCTAACATCTGCCCCTCACCCTTTTCCATCCCACCCACTTTGTGTTGTTCCCACCTTAGGGTCTTTGCATGTGCTGTGCCCCCTGCCAATTCTTTCCTCCAGCTATTTTGTATGGCTTGAGCCCTCGCTTCCTTCAGGTCTTGGTGCAGCATCTCGTCCCGACCCCTTCCTGCCCCTAGCATTTTCTGTCCTGTCCTGTTCCATTTTTGCCCCTTAACTTTATTATCTGACAGTTTTTTTGTTTGTTTTTAATATATCTTTATTGATTTCAGAGAGAGGAAGGGAGAGGGAGAGAGAGAGAAACATCAATGATGAGACGGTAATTGATCAGCTGCCTCCTGCCTGCCCCTGACTGGGGATCGAGCTCGCAACCTGGGCATGTGCCCTGACTGGGAATCGAACCGCGATCTCCTGGATCCTAGGTTGATGCTCAACTGCTGAGCCACACCTGGCCGGCTACCTGACAGTTTTTGTTGGCGTGCCTAGAATGGTCCATGGGGGCTGCGGCAGCTGCAGGGAAGTGAGTGGGCTGGAGGGAACCATTGAGACTGGGGGCTCTGCAGGGCCTGGCATTTCCCCCTAGGGTATGGGGAACCACAGGAGGTGCTAGAGGTCAGAGCTTGGAATTTGGGATGTGCCGGAGATGGGCTGGGGCCTGAGAGTGAGGGCACCTTTAAGAGTCACTTAAAGAATGAAATAGAGATGAGATGAATGCTTGGTGGGTGGGGCTGGGGAAGGTGCTGGGGATGAGGGAGGAGCCAGTGCTCCTCTTAAATCTCCACGCCTCCTACTCGACCCCCTCTCCCCTACCCTCGTCATCTGGGACCCCACCACTTGCTCCCTCAGTCCCAATACTCACCCCGGGGACGGGGGTTGTGGGCTTGCTCTGTCTCCCCAGCCTGGGGACTCCTGGTGGCTGAGCCAGGGCTGAATCCCTCCAACATTGCCCAGCATGGGGCAGGCACAGTGGGGTGGGCATCAGAGGGTAGGCATCAGGTGAGGATAGACACCCTATCCCTGCCCATCCTTTCTTGCCCTGCACACACCAACTGGTTGCCTGGTCCTGCCAGATATCTGCCCTGCATTCCTCCTCCAAAGCCAGCCAGAATATTTGTCTCCCACCCCTGCACTCACTCTTGAGGCTGCTGGGGCAGCCCCTACAGAAACCAGCAGCTCTGGGGCCTTGGCCCCAGGGGAGTTGGGAGGACGCAGGTGCAGGGTGGGGTGGGGCAGGGGGCGGGCATCGTCACCCTCTCAACACACAATGGGGGGCCAAGCTCTGGCTTCTGACCCCAGACACTGATAGCCACAGCATCCAGGATCCTCACAGGCTGCCCTGATACCAGGGTGTCCCTGAGCAGAGGAACCTGGGGAGCTGTGGGTTGGAGAGGGATGTCTGCTTCACACTAGAAGATCCTGGACACAGCAGCAAGATGGGCGGGCGGCCTTCAAGCCCCCTGGACAAGCGGCAGCAGCAGCACCTGAGGGGTGAGCTAGGGTCAGGAGGGGTGGGGATGGGGAGGAGTGTTCAGGGTTGTCAGATACATGGGGTGCCCTATTGTGAATTCCAGATAAGCAATAAATAATTTTTTAGTATATGTCCCAAATTTTGCATGAGGGCATAGTTATGCTAAAAAATAATTCCTTAGTTACCTGAAATTAAAATTTAACTGGTGTCATGTACTTTTATTTGGTAAATCTGGTAACCTGACTTGGCATGGGTTTAGGGTATGGGGCATGGGTCAGGTGGGGGGTGCCCTGGGCCCAAACATCTTGGGGGATAATCCTTCCCCCAAGGTGGGCAGGGGTCAATAGATCCCTCTGTGTGAACCCCAGAGACTGAGTGACAGTTTTGATTTGAGACAAAGAATAGCCAGTACCTTTCATCCCCCATACACATGGTTGAGTATTTACTGTGTGCTGGGCACGGAATATAATGAACTCATGATCTAGATTAGGAAAAGTCAAGTTATCAGGTTTTTTCTGTAGTAGCTTAAGGCAAAGATTTAGTACTCTCTCCTATGGGGGTACAGTGGCAGATATGCTGATAAAAGTTAGATAACCCAACTTCTTCCATCTCATGGTTCTACCATGAGTGGTTTCTGTGCCTGAAGTCACCTCATGGCACATAAAGGCTGCTGAAGCTCCAGCCATTCTAGGCCCACATTCCAGGCAGCGGGAAGGACTGTATGTTTTACATATAGTCAAGTGCGTGCATCTTAAGGGAACAGCTTGAAGAACTTTAACACCTGTGTGATCACCTCTTAGAACAGGATACAGAATACTTCCATCACTTCAGAAAGTTTCTCTGTGCTGGGGTGAGGCTTTTAAAAGATTTTGAATATTTCTCTAGGTAAGGGGCGTGAAAAAACTTTCAGGCGCAATGAAACTGTTCATTATCTTGATCGTGGTTTCTGGGGGTGGACATGTGTGAAAGCTCATTAAATTCTATGCTTTATACAATTAAAGTTTGTTGTGCATCAGTTACAAATTAAGCCAGAGCCCCTTAACTCCCCCTTTCCCTCACGTGGATGGAAACAGACAGCAGAGGGCTAAGGGTAAATGGAACTTGGAGCATGGGGTAGCTTTTGGATTTGAGTAGGTGGCCTGATTCAGCCACCTTGCTGTTCCCTTGTCCCTGCAGATCAGGTGGATGCCCTGCTGAGGAACTTCCTGCCCCAATACCGCGTGCAGCTGGCAGCCTCTGTCCTGCAGCAGATTTCCCGGGAGCTAGTCCCCCAGGAGCTGGCTGGAAGCCAATTGCTGCACAGCAAAGTGGGTGCCACAAATGAAGGTGGAGGGCTGCTGAGTGAGCGAGTCTGCAGGGGCCGTTGGTTCAGTGTGTGTGTGTGGGGGGGCACTTCTCACACCTTTGTCCTTGCTGGTGCCAAAACCTAGGGTGACTGTAACATTCACTGGCACATCCTGGACTGGACACTGGGGACACAGCAGAGACCGAGACATATTCCACTCTGTTCTCTGGAGCTCACAGTCTGATTGGGGAAAATGACCCCCAAAAGTTAACATCATGGTGCAGGATAACTTCTGATAGGTGCTAAGAAATCAAGAGGAAGGGCACTGTTGGGTACAGTTGGGTACAGTTGATCTGAGATGTAAAGGATGAGAAGGAGCCAGATCTGTAGCCCAGAATGGGAAGGGCATTGTAGGCAGAGGGCACAGCCAGTACAAAAGCCTGAGGTTGGAAAAAGCTTGCCCTGAGTGCCACATTCAAGGACACAGCACTGGCTGCTCTGTGAGCTCCAGAGAACAGAACGGGATATGTCTTGGTCTCTGTTGTGTCCGCAGCGTCCAGCCCAGGCCACTGGATACTCCGTGTACTTCATCTGCCACTTCTTCCAGGAAGCCTTCCTGGATTTCCATGGCCCCTGCCTGAGTTGGGCGCCTCTTCTGAGACCCCCATCTCACTGCTTCTCCAGCAAAACCCCAGGTCACACATTAGTCACCTCCAGGGGTCTGCTGTGCTAGGGCAGGGGCCAGGCATAGTCTCCTCTTCCCCTCATCCCCACCTCTCATGCCCGCACAGTGACTGCACATAGTACAGGAATAGTTTGTGGATGGAACAGAGGAGCCTGGAGCTGCTTGGTTCTAGCTCCACATGTCTGCTGAGCTGGCAATGGCACCCAGGTCTTCCCTGTGCCTGGCACAACATACTCAGTTCTCACCAGCCCAAGAAATGGGTCTTTGACCAGCAAAGAAACCAAGGCACAGAAAGGCAAAGTGATCTGCCTAAGGTCATGCTGTCAGCAAGAGGCAGAGGCACGATTTGCACTTGGACTCATATTCTTTACTGACACTGGGTCCCCTGCCCCATCAGGGTTGTGAGTTTTCCCACTTCTCTCAGATGCCTCTTCTCCCAACTATGCCTGCCCTGAGATGGGGGCTCCCTGGCACTGTGGACACTGAGCCCCCTCCTAACCAGGGCTCTCCCTGTCCCTCTTGGGGCATCATGGGGCCTGGGTGTCACCCCCACCTGCACCTTACACCACCTGCTGCTGGTTTCAGCCACCTGGGCCAGGCCACAGCTGACACTGGGTTTCAAGCAGTGTGGAGGGACTTCCCCTTGCTTCAGTTTGAACATTTTATATAATACTTATTTTATGTGTTTTTATTTTATATATAATTCCTTTATATATATATTATTGATTTCAGAGAGAGGAAGGGAGAGGGAGAGAGAGACAGAAACATCAATGATGAGAGAGTAATTGATCAGCTCCCTCCTGCATGGCCCCTGCTAGGGATCAAGCCCACAACCTGGGCAAGTGCCCTCACCAGGAATCAAACCATGATCTCCTGAATCATAGGTCGATGTTCAACTGGCCAGGCTATATAATTTCTATAATAACATTTAAAAAATATTGTTATGAAAATTCTCATAGCTGGGAAAAGGTATGGAGAATCATTAACAAACACACCTGAGTTCCCACCATCCCACCAAAGAATCAAAATATTACAATTGCAGTTAATTGATTCATTAAATATGTAACGAGCACCAACTATGTACCAGACACTGCTCTGGGACCCAGTGATGACACAAAACACACAATTCAGGTAGTACGAAGAGTGACAAAGGAAATGAAACAGGGGACAAAGAAAATGTCCTCCTGCCTGACGGTGGGGTCTGTGGACAGAGGCCAGGCCTTCACTCATACAGTTAAACTACACCTGCCCCATGACCCAGCAACACCACTTGTATTGGTTAGTGAGTGCTGTGTAACAATATACTACAAATCAGTAGCTTAAAACAACACACACTTATTATCTCACAGTGGCTGTGAATCAGGAATCTAGATGCAGCTTCTCTGAGTCCTTTCTTTCAGCGTCTCTCACAGGCTGCAATCAAGGTGTTGGCCAGGGCTGGGATCTCATCTGAGAATCAAGTGGGGAAGGGTCCACTTCCAGATGAAGCGGAGATGACAAGACTGCCCTGTCTCAGGGCTGTGTGGAAGATAAATCAGTTCATATTTGGAAGGACCCCACACAAGTGCATGCTATGAGAGTGCTTGATAAAGAACAGGAGTGCCACATAGCAGCACCCACGCGCTCTGTACTTAGTGGCACCTGGGACACAGTGGGAGCTGTCCTAGTGATCTGGACACTGGAACACTGGCCAGTGCCCCAGACACCCAAGGGCTCCTCCTCCACAGAAGCTTCCCCGAGTCCGTGAGCACCGAGGACCCCTGATCCAGCTGCGGGGCCACCCGCCCCAGTGGCAGCCGATCTTCTGTGTCCTGCGTGGGGATGGCCACCTGGAGTGGTTCAGCCACAGGGAGGTGAGTGAGTGACCTGTGTCCCTTTGGCCTCCAGATTCTCCATCCCACCCTCCCCAGAGTGGGGTTGGGGTCTAGCTATCAGCATAGCCCCTCTCCTTTCTTCAGTCATCTAGCCTGAATCAAGCAAGGGGCCCTGTGTGCTTGGCCTGCAGTGGGCAACCATCTCCTGTTGTGCCAGGTGGATGAACTGAGGCCCAGGACAGGGGTAGGGGCTTCCTCATGGTTGTCAGCAGAGCTGAGGTTGAAACCATGTTAGGCCTGCGTGGATCATGCCCATACCCGTGCCCTGCTTCCCGGCTGGGGGATTCCTTCAGGTCACTTGTTGCCCTGGAATGCAGTTTCCACCTCTGTGAAATGGGTGATGATGGTCTACAAAGCAAGGGGCTGTGCTGATCCAATGAGATAATCCTCAACAGCACTTGGCCCGGCACACGGTGGAGGCTGGGTGCTCTGCTATGGAGGAGGGGGAAAGAGCAGTGGAGGCAGGGAGGGGAGGTGGAGGATTTCCCCAGCTAACCCTAAACCTTCCCCTGATCCTATGCTGAGGCATGGAAGCCACAGTTTAGACTTGTCCCAAAGTGATTCTTTGGACACCTTTTGTAGGAATATGAAAATGGGAGCCGTCCTCTGGGCTCCACGGCGCTGACAGGGTACACAGTCCTGACTTCCCAGCGTGAATATCTCCACCTGTTGGACACTCTCTGCCCAGACTCCTCGGGTAAGGCTCCTGGGGACCCCAAAAGCAGGCGCCTCTAGTTCAGTGCTGTTGACACTAGGGCCTGATCATTCTTTGCAGTGAGGGTCGCCCTGTGTACTGCAGGGTGTTGAACAGCATCCCTGGTCTCCACCCACTAGACACCAATAGCAGTCCCAAACCCAAGTGTGACAACCAAATATGTCTCTAGACATTGCCAAGTGTCCCTTGGGGGACAGCATTGTTTCTGGGTAAGCATCCTGACTCTAGAAAGAGAAACACCCACTCTCATCAGAGTGAAAGAGGTTGGTCACTGGACCGGAATCAAAGTAGCAAAGGGTAAAAGCAAGTATGTGGGGGATGGGCACTGGTGGGGGGAAATCGTGCAACTTGGTGCTGGGTGTATTGTTCATTTAGTTGTTTCCTGGAGGGTTCTCCCTTCCTCCCTCCCTTCCATTCTCTCTTCTCCTCCCCCTCCTTTTTTCTCTCTCTCTTTTTCTCTAACTTCCTCCCTCTCTCTCTCCTTCCATTACCCTCTCCTTCTCCTCCCCTCCCCCCTCCTCTCTAACTCCCTCCCTCCATTACCCCTTCT